CCAGTCGTGACACTGCTGGCGGACCAGCGCCCCCGGCGTGCCCTGTTCAACACGGGATGTACGGACACCCTGGTTCGCGTGAGCTGCTACCGCACGTGGCGCCCGTGCGCGGTCAAGATGCGAACGGTGAACGATGGAATGTTGCGGCGCGTGGGCACCGCCCAGGTGACGTTCGACTAGAGGCAAGCGAGTAATGCTCGCGAAGCTGGTGGTCCCAGATCGTCCATTGGGGTTGGACGTGCTGATCGGCATGTCCGGCATCACCGCGTTAGGAGGCATCAGTGTTCGGTCTCCGACTGACGTGCAGCTGGGTGCGGCAACGCAGGAGGCGCCGGAGTCGGCCAGTGACGAGCCGGCATGCGGCGTGGCGGCGCCGGGCAGCGGCACGCGAAGCTCACTGGCGTTGGAAGCGGCGGATTTCACGGCTCGGTTCGACGGCGCTCACTGGAGTGTGGCGTGGAAGTGGGCGCATGGACGTGGTCTCGAACGTCTGGGGAACGACGTGAGTGAATACGCTGTGCCGGCTGAAGCACGAGAGACCTACGACCGCGAGTTGGCTGAGTGAATGACGAACGGATGGCTCCGGCCCTATGACGAGCAAGAGGACGGGCCGGCTCGGGGCCTGATTCCCTTGATGGCAGTTCAACAGCCGCACAAGAGGAAGGTCAGGCCGGTGTTGGACTACTGCGAACTCAACCGGCATGTGACCGCGCCCACCGCGGACGCTGACGTGTGCGCCGAGCAGTTGCGCCACTGGCGCCAGCGTGGTGCCCGGTTGGCCGTGGTCGCCCTGAGAAAAGCGTGCTTGCAGCTGCGTCTGGAGCGCCGAAAGTGCTGATGCTGATCAGACGCAGGATTGCCCTCATGCGACAGTTGGTCGACGAGTTCCAGCTCTCGGTGACCCTCCAGCTGATGCGGTCACAAGACAATCCTGCCGACGCGCTCACCCGAGTTCCCCAGACCTGGCTGCGAGCCGAGCCCCGAGATGCGACTTCAGCCGCAGCAGCCGCCACGCCAAAATGTTTCACGGCACCCTCGCGAGATGCGACTTCGGTGTCCGCAACTGTCGGGCCGGAAGAAGTTGCGGTGCCCCGGTGGACCAAGAAGCCGTTCACGAGCTAATGGCAAGCGACGTTCGTGTCCGGATTAAAAGCATACACGAACGGACGTGGCACCAGGGGATCCGCCGGTCCCTGTGGTACGCCAGGCGGGACCTCGGCGGACACGTGGCACGGGCCGACGTGCGAGCCGTCGTCAGCCAGTGCGATGTGTACCGTTCCATTGACCCGGCGCCGACTCGCTGGCTGTCCGGCTCACTCGGCGTCCCGACAACATGGACCCGACTCGCGATCGACGTGACCCATTGCCAAGGTCGCCTCTACCTCACGATCGTAGACTGCGGGCCGTCCCGGTGCAGCATTTGGAGCGCACTGCGACGGTCCGACGCTGCGGAAGTAACGGATCATCTGCATCGAGGGTTCCTAGAACGTGGCGCCCCGGCTGAGCTTTTGCTGGTCAATGCCACTGAATTTCGGAGCCGGCGAATGGCTGTATTCGCCGCGAAGTGGGGGTTTCGGCTGTGATTTCGCGCGGCGCACGAGGCCGGCGGCAACGAAATCGTGGAGCGCCACCACCGAACTATAAATGTGATGGTCGCCCGCAACGGTGCTCAGTCAGTGAAGCGGTGCATCGGCATAATGCGACTCCGCGGGACGGCGCTAACTCGCTAAGCACGCCGATGGCGCGGGTATTTCGCGCAGGCGGTGCTGACCTGCCGAATACCCAGCGCGCTGCCGAACCCGCGCCGCCGCTGATGCAGGAACCCGTCTCATCGTCATTTCGCGTCGGCGATGCGGTGTGGATGCGGCGCCGGGGGCCCGCCACGCGGTATACCGATGTGTCGCGCCAGGGCGTAGTTACGCGGGTCGTGTCGGACCAGGTGGTTGAGGCCGACGGCACGCCCTGGCACGTGCGGTGCCTGCGGCGCCGGAACCCGCAGAAAGGCTCGGACGGGAGCCGAATGCCCGGTGCGGGTGAGGAGTTTGGGGACGACACAGGCACGCTGCCGATGACGAACATTCTATCGAATCATGATCACACGGGGGGGGGGGCGGTTCAGATCCGCCTGCCGCGCCACCGAGCCCGTCATTCGCGTAACCTGCTGAGTGTCCATTGCTAACGTGGAACGATCGCGCTGAAGTGTCGAGCGGCAGTACGAATTCTCAATCACTGTGCTGTGGTGAGCATGAATTGGATGAGTGCGGCGTGCGGAAACATGACTTGTTCGTGTTCAGCAACGGTGCGGCGCTACCACCGCCTCGGTCGGATCCTCCACAAGGAGAGAGGGTCACAAGAACCGCTGAGGAGCGGTCGCGCTCGCCGGCAACCAGCCGAGTTGTACGGCTTCAGTGCCCCTACCGATCTCATTGACGATTATGAGTGGTTGTACATTGGTAGAGTGGCATGATTGCTTGCGATCAGGTGGAAGTGTGGTGTGATTGTGCGGGTGTGCGCCCTCGCCCTCGCTGTCTTCCGAGCTCTGCATCTGGCTGGGTGCCGGGGGGCGTCGCCTGACCACGGGTCTCCCGATCCGCCGGGGGTGAAGGGTCGACCGCTGAGGCGGCGGCAGGGACCCGGCGCTCGCATGCGCCAGTCGGTTTTTGGACGGGTCCGGGCGAATACACGCTATGTTCTCTTACGCGCTCGTAAAATGTGACCTGGAAAGGTCGGAATTCTGACGGATGCTAGTTCCTGCGCCGGTGAATAGTCTAACGCTGAAAAGTCCGAAATCAGCAGGCAACGTTTGGATGATGTGGGGCTTTGTCATTTGAACTAGAATATGACCTTAAATGACAGTAATATTAATAATTTGGCCTCGGAGATAGGGTGATGTAAAATAGACGTCAGATGCGGTATTCTTGTGCCGTGATTGATCATATGACGTTTTTTTCAGGGAGGTTCAAATTCGCTGCTACATAACGTTGCGTCGCATTCTTTTCAACTATTGTAACCATGACTGCTCAAAAGCAGCACTTCGTCAGCGCGTTTTTCGATTGTCCTGCACTGGCGAAGGTTCTGGTCGGTCTCCTTACGTGGTTATTGGCGATCAAAAATATTATTAGTTGCCAAATTATGTAAGTATTGGTAAAATTTTTAAAATCATTGCATTTAATATCTTGGCACAAATCATTTCGCGTCTAACACAAACTTGTGTGGTATTCCTATTGATGCTAACGCGGATCACTCTATCAGACCGCGCCGTGCCGTAGTGCACCCGTGTCGTGACCTATGCCGTCTGACCTATGCCGACCTATGCCGTCTGACGCAGGGTACGCTCCGCCCACGCTGCGCTGTCCGGTCGGCTGGCAGTGGGATGGCCGCCGCTGTGGAGGTCAGTTTCGCACCAGCTTGGGTCCAATAGTAACGTCTGAGCTGACCAGCACACAGTTCAGCTCAGGTGATGCTCCATTCGGCACAAAATGGGAAATGCGTCCTCCTGTGCTTGCCTTTACCGAGATGACATGTACCTGCACTGAAATGACACATAGCGACGTAGAAGCATAGAGCACGTATGCATGTTTACAAGGACACGCACCCCGGTCGGCTCACCCGCTTCACCATTTCGGCCACGCGTGCCTTTCCAGATGTCAATGAGTGCCGGCTGGAGCGAAACGAGTGCCGCAGCGAGCGCGTGCTCTGCATGAACACGTTCGGCAGCTACCGGTGTATGTGTCGGCACGGTTACATCGGAGACTACTACACCGTCGGCTGCAAAACAGGTTAGTGCCGCGGCCACCCACCGGCCCAAGCTCGGGTTGGTCGGCCGGTGCCAAGTGAACGAATGCTTGCTTTCTGATGAGGACATCTTTGTGCCCGACTGCAGCCGCGCAATTTCCGAAATCTTCGTGTTTCTCAAATCAGGAGTGATGCCGTCCAGGCGGGGATTAATCGTCACAAGACGCGGCTTCAGTTGGCGAAACGCGGAACAGCCGGCGTTCCCTGCAACTCTCTATCTCTGCGACACCAGAAGCCTACAGAGGCGACAGGCAGAACTGTTGGGCCCAATGAAGCGCTAGTTTTGGGCGGCCGGCCCTGACTGAGCATTGTCTGACGCGCCCGCGAGATCACGTCTGCGTATCTGATCTGCCGTTCCGCCCGCTCCCTTTCAGAGGAAGAGTACTGTGCGACGAGGTTCCGCGCGGCTGAGACCCGGGCTGAACCCTAAACGGCCGCACCAGCTGCCGCCGCTAGCAGGAGCGGCAGCAGGAGCTGGAGCCCTGATTGGACCGCGACCGACCTCGGCGCGAGGTAGAAGCTCTCCCCCCGACACCGGTGCTCGAGCGGCTGAGGTGGTGCGCGCGGCCAAACAAATACAGCTCTCTGCGAACGTCTGGCGTGTGTGATTCTGGTGGCCGGACTGACGAGGCTGTGGGCAGCGGGGCCCGTCAGGACGCCCGCGAACGTGCCCACCCCGCACCGCCCGAGCACACAGACTCGCGCCGCCCCCTGTCTCGCCGGCGGCTGCAGGCGTGGCGACACATGACGAGCTGAGCGGGAGACGCGCCCATCATCGTTCGCTTGTGACCTGTCAGGCGCCGCGTGGTCACATTAAGCAGCTGGCCAGGTCAGACGCCGAACCGTCGGACGTCTGTGGCGGCTGGACAGTCACTGGCACGTGCAGACAGCTCGCAGAAAGGTGTAATCCTCCGTTCTGGCCGATATTTTGGCACGCTTTGATAGACGCGCATGAGACGGACAAATTGGAGTTGCCACAACTTGCGTCCCACACCCTGCCACATGTTCCATCCCCTCGCCTGCCTTCATGCGCCGCAGAATGCCCTCCGCTCCCCGTTTCACCGAGCGGCAGGAATGGGCAGTCACCAGTGCAGTGGCCACCTCGGCTCACGTACCCGTCACGGGGCTACCATGCCCGCCTGTGCTGCTGGCCGCCGCCTGGGCGTCTTCGCTGCCGACCGCGCGCCGCCTGCAACAGGCCGGTCTCGCAGCACATGTATATTCCACTACATAGCGGCAGGCTAACGCGGAGGGCCCCGGCACCGACCGGCAGTTACAAAACAACGGCGCCGACCGCTGGCGTCCGCGCGCCAACCGAGCTGAACGACGCAGGCCTAAGTAGACACCGCGCGGGCAACACGAAACGAGGGCGGGATCTCTAAAAGAGCAGCTATCACATCGTAAGGAATGTCACGTTGAACGTGCCGGGAGAGGCACGAGACGACGCCGACGCGGCGGACCGCGCCACGCGGCGAGTCAAATCACATGCCAATCATAAAAGCGCTCCAATTGTGACCGTAACTGAATCGTCGACCGTTGCAGACGAGGGAAACATACATCGCTGACGCCCGCCGGGGTCGTGGAATCCCGTGAATTAGCTGCCCGTTGCGGAGCACCGCCGGCCAGACACGCGCCGCACTGCCGACTCGCACAGCACCCGTGCGAGCAGAGCAGCCGTCGACAGTATTGCCACAGACCTGAAGCTGATCCTCCGCAAAATCAACAAACCATGATAAAGCTATCGATAACAAAGAACATAAATAGACATAAATAGTTGCCTGCCCGAGCCGATTGGCGCGCCCGCCGCCGGGCCGGCGTAATTTCCCCTCGGTACACACCCCAGGCGTATCGGCGCGGGCCAGCCGGGCCGCGGCCGTCCGTCAGCACCGGCCGGCGTGGTGACCGCCCGTCGCGCTCGTGCGTGGCGCAGTGCCCTCCGCCCGGGCGGCGGCGGCGGGCCGACGGCGCCATCTCTCGGTCGGCGCCGTCCCGGAGCCGACTCCACCGCAGTAGGCGCAGTAAGCGGCTCACAACTTCTTCAGCATGGGCAAGTTGAGGATGTCCGGGATCTCGATGTCCTCTAGCCGGATGTTGGAGGGGTTGAACGGGAACCGCACGGGGAAGGCGAACTTGGTGTCCATCAGCAGCCGCGCCTGCAACGAGCCCGTGACGTCAGCCGTGACGTCAGACGAGCGGGCGGCGGCCGGTGGGTGTGCCTACACACCAACAGTGCCACAGCCCGACACAGTGTCCTCAGGCCCGCCACTGAGACAGCGGCGCAATCAGCACCAATCTACCACAGGATGTCATCGCCCATAGACAGCTGGGAGCCGAAACCACTTTGTAAACCCACGTTTACATTGAAGACAAAACTGGGTGCACACGATATTTTCACTAGACTGGGCGGGAGCATTTTCTCACAAATACGAGTAGTCATCAACAATCTAGTAACACCGCAGTCAAGCACCCAACAGAACATTGCAACCTTGCATTCTATCTCCCCCTCCCACCACAACCCACTTCCCACTATCACATCTATCATCGCGACAGATGCAGCAGAGGTCACCACCAGCCGAGTGGAGGCGGTGGCGCCTGACGCAGCCCGCCACTGACCGAGCTGTCCGTGTCCGGCTCGCGGTGCTTCTGCAGATGGTCCTGAACCTTGCGAATGAAGCTGATCGGTACGCGCTCCTCGTATTCGTCCGGCGTGTACAGGTTCAGGATCTTGATGATCTGCGGCACCGGGAGGCCCGTTAGTGGGCTCAGCTGACGCCGACAGCCAATCCGCGCGCGGCCCAGGCCCCGGCCAGCGAGGGCCGTCACAGACCGTCCGTCTGTCGGCGCGACCCCACTCTCACGCTGAACACCGCCAGCCGGCGGCGCGCGCCAGGCCGGGCCACGTCCCGGCCCGTCAGAGCGGGTGTCGGCGGCGCGGCGGACCCGCCACCCACCTGGGGAGAGGTGAGCTTGTCGCACATGTCGCAAACACGCGACACGTCCTCCTCGGTTTTGCGCGCCTGCAGCAGCTGCGACGCCTGAATGATGGGCTGCAGCGTGTCCATGACGCCCGTCTCCTGGTCCTGCTGCCGGCGGCGAGGGCGGGCGTCAGCGGCGACCGGCCGCGTGGCGTCACACATCATGGGCTGCACGGCACCACCGAACGGCAAACGTTCGACCAGTGCCGACCAAGCATTGGCAACGGAAAAATCAGGACGTAATGCATGTGTGTCGCAATGCTTCAGCTCGTGATAGCCTCGTCGCAACATCCATCCCACTGGCGTTTTTCCCGGCGAATGAGGCCAATAATGCGCTGAATAACAGGTACCCCGGGCGGGGCCCGGGCAGGCTCAAGCCGCCCGGTTTAGGCTGTGCCCGGCGCCTAAAGGTGCCGCCCCCAAACCGTATATCGATTCCCCTGGCCGGAGGATTGACAGGGGTGGAAAATGCGACGTCACCAGTGAGACCACAGTCCTGCCCCTCGCCGTTGCGGCCGCCGGAGAGGGACGGCAGGGGTCACGCCTCACGTGGAGCCGGTTGTCCCTGCACCACTGCTCCAGGTGCGAGAGGTTGTAGCGGATCTGCATGCCCTTGGTCCAGTGGCACAGCTCCTTGCGCAGCAGCAGGTTGTTCAGCGAGTGCGCGCATATCGAGTAGAACAGCTGGAGAGAGGGACGGAGAAAAGTCAGCATCAGAGGCGTGCGGCGTCGGCAGGCCGACAGCCAGACGCTGCTCGACAGCCCGCTACTGAGCACGCGCCAGCTCAGCTATCCCTCGCCATATGTCACATCACAGGCAGAAACACGGAACTTCCCAGTACTGAAGACAGCTGTGGGCATGTCAAACAGACGTTTCCACCTGCATACACGACCTTTTCCAGGTACCAAATACTCCTAGACTACACAGCGTCTGCTTAGAAACCAAGCCGATTGACACGCGCGAGTCACACGTAGACTGCATGACGAGGGCATGCCGCAGTCCTCCCCAGCTGGACGCGGAAGCCGGACGTTCTGAGTTTGGACTGCCTCCCGCCGGCCCGCACCGGTCCGTGGCCCAACGTGACGCCGTGTTTCCGCCTGCAGCCGCCGCCTCCCCAATGAGCGCCGGGGCCCGGCCGCCGCGTGCAGTGGCGGCCCCCGCTGACCTGTTTGAAGACCTGCGCCGTGATCTCCGGGTCGACGCCGAGCTCGCAGAGCGTGCGGTAGATCTTGCGCAGGCTGGCCATCAGGGCGTCCAGGGCGTGCTCGCTGCTGACGGGGCTCTCCAGCTGGCGGGACGAGGAGCCGGCACGACCGCGGATACCGGCCGGCCGACCCGTCAGGCCGGCGATGGCCTCGTGCTCCAGCACGGCCGGCACCACCACCGGCTGCACGCGCTCCTCCAGCAGCTTGATCACCAGCTGCCGCACAGGATGGCGGGGTTAGTTCATCACCATCGTCTGCATGCGCTCTCCCAGCCGCCTGACCCCTGCTGACGCGCACGGCGGCCAGGTAGGTTCAGAGGGGCCTGGTCGGGTCCACGAGGTATAGTCACACGGCTGCGTCAGACGGGGGCAGCATACGTGACACATTCGCACGCCACTTTCGAGGGGTCAAGGCAAGCGCACCCGGCACATCCGCAGCGGGCCGAGCCGGGAGACCGGCGTACCTGGTATATCCGGCACATTCGCAGCGGGGCCGAGCCGGGAGACCGGCGTACCTGGTATATCCACATTGCGACGTCGGAGAGCACCTGGCGGTACTCGGACAGGTCGAAGCTCTTCAGACACTGCTCGTTCTGCTTTCTCAGTGTTCTCCGACTGGAACGCCTGGCACGCAACAAAACTGAACGTGAATGATGTGACAGATGGGCGGAATCGCGCTACCAACATTACGGTCGGGAAAGCAAATGCCTAAGTGTGCATACCTTTCATAAGGATCACGTACAGGGTTACATTAATCCTCAGTAGACAAAAACGCAACCACAGCCTTTATTAAATAACTGAACCGGCATTCGCACAGCATTAGTCCACGCGTCCAACGTTTGGATACTTGCCTCCCATGCTCAGATACCACTTCACTTCCACGTAAGCTTCACACATGCCATCAAGCGTCCCGTTCCGTCCCATCCCGTCCCGTCCCGTCCCGTCCCGTCCCGTCCCGTCCCGTCCCGTCCCGTCCCGTCCCGTCCCGTCCCGTCCCGTCCCGTCCCGTCCCGTCCCGTCCCGTCCCGTCCCGCTCACCACGTCGCCGCTGTACTGTTTGAGGTTGTGCAGCAGGCGGCACACGTTGGCCAGCCACATGACGAGCGAGTCGGCGTCGTCGCGTCGCTTCTTCACCACGCGCTTGACGCCGTTGATGGCGGCCGTCAGCAGGCGGCGCACCTTCTCGTCGTCGTTGACATGGTCCGTGTGTCGAATGCACATGAACAAGATGTAGGCGGGCAGGCCGGGCAGCAGGACGGCCGCCGTCTTCGGTCGCAGGTCTGGCGGACCGAGGGTGAATTCACCAGCCATCGCCAGCACGACAACATCGGCTGCGACATCGGTCACGGGTCACAGGTCGTCGAGACAGTCTCGGCAACAGTCGCGGTTACAGTCGCGGAAACACGTGACGGTCGCGACGACGGCCCAGCCGTGTGTCTGGCGAAGGAGCTCAACCCCCGAGTCACCGATCCTGAGCCCCGCTCCCAGTCACGGCCCGGCTCCGCTCCCAGTCGCGGCGACGGTGACCGCGACACTCATGCCGACAGGTCATGTCACAGTCACGGCAACCGTCACAGTCGCAGCACGTGAGCAGCAGGACTTATCGCCGAGCAGCTACGCCATAATTCATCCCCTAACAGACGACTGTCTTCCATCGAAAACACAATCTTCATATCGTTTGCCAGACCTGGCACGGACAGTTCGGTACCACTGAACTCTCGAGCTCGGTAAACAACTATCCTAACATCTGAAAAGCTTGCGAGACGCGGTCCACACAACGAGGCACGCTCAAGAAAGAACCTGACTTCAACACACCACTCAAGCAAATAGGTCAAGTGAATATGTCAAGTGAGAGCATTCATAAGACCAACACGAAGTAAGTCCCGCCAGACCCACCACACCACAACGACCCAGGACACCGCCTCAGCACAGCGCCGCAGGCAACAGAGCCCTACAGAGCAGCCATGACCGGCCGACCAGCCGGCCGGCTGGTCAGTTGGCTGAGGCCGCCCACAGCAGCGCCGCAAGTGTGGCGAGTGGGATGCACAGCAGGGTGTCGGCACATGCACAGATGGACACTGCCCGGGAAAATAACTCTGGTCCTGCTTCAAGCACAACAGAGGCGCCACGCGTGATGTCTGCGGCAGCGAACAGGCTTATACATAACAGTTCTCGGTAAGTGCCGAATACAGGTTAGGCAGATTCCACTGAATCATACCGAACTGTATAGCAGAACTAAAACATGGCATCTCCTCGAGTGCGGGAAAACTGCCCATAAGCAGCCGGCCCGGTGGACTGGGCGGACCGCTGAGCGTGGTGCCTCACCGAAGATGAGACTGCGGATGAGGGCCTCCTCGTCCTCCTTCTTGTACTCGAACATGCCGACGTAGTCGACGCTCTTGTGCCGGATGACGGGCATGGCGGGGCCCTCCTGCTGCGGCCCCTCCAGCAGCTCAGCACCGGGCTCGGCGCCTGTCGGCGGGCAGGGCGGGGGCCGGTCAGAGCGTCCCACCCAGCCCACAAAGCGCGGCTCAGAAACGGCACGACAGACAGATCACCGAACAGAACAGCACAGGTCACTCGTCGCCTGTCGACAGAACACATAGTCAGAAGAGAACAGGGCGCACTGTGGTGAGAGGGAGAGAAAGAGAGTGAGTGAGTGAGTGAGTGAGTGAGTGAGTGTGTGTGTGTGTGTGTGTGTGTGTGTGTGTGTGTGTGGTGTGTGCGTGCGTGCGTGCGTGCGTGCGTGCGTGCGTGCGTGCGTGCGTTGCGTGCGTGCGTGCTTGCGTGCGTGCGTGCGGCGTGCGTGCGTGCGTGCGTGCGTGCGTGCGTGCGTGCGTGCGTGCGTGCGTGCGGCGTGCGAGAGAGAGAGAGAGAGAGGGATGATACGAGAGCAGAGAGAGTAGATCGAGAGATCGAGAGAGAGAGAGAGTAGAGAGAGAGAGAGAGAGAGAGAGAGAGAGAGAGAGAGAGGAGAGGAGAGAGAGAGTATGAGAGAGAGAGAGAGATGAGAGAGAGAGAAGACAGCCGTCGCTGACCTGTGGTACAGGACTGAACACAGCAGCCGGGCCTGCAGTCACGACAATAAGTCAGAGCGCAAAAGTTGATCGACACCAGAACCGCAGGCGCATGCGACGAGTATTCAGATGACAGCCCTCAGTCTCCGCATCTGGTTTCCTCCACAGCATTATCCGCACGATACCAGGACAGAAATACAGCCACCCAGAACTGGAGGATAACACGCGGCATGGGACGACACCTTCTAACGTGCAGCGGCCATGCAGAAGCGGACGGGGGGGTACCGGGGCCGGCCTCGGCTCGGGCTCGGGCTCGGGCTCGGGCTCGGGCTCAGGCTCGGGCTCGGGCTCGGGCTCGGGCTCCGGACTGGACTCGGGACACAGGGCTCCGAAGCAGCGGAGCGCAGGCGTGAGGTTACCGAGCCTGGACCGGGGTCGGACGGGGCGCCGGCCCATGACATGGCCACATCACGCCGCCCGCGGCGCGCCACTGCAAGCACCACCGGCCTTCAATCAGCCGGCCGCAGCGCCAAAGCACGCAACGCTCGGCCGTGCTGTTGACTTTCGCCGCCATTCAACCCCGGTCATTCGTCAATGTGTCTATGACTAGGGGAAATTGTCCGTTACTTTGCAATAGCCTGAAGAATGGGGCCGCGCGCCGCTGAACTACGGCACATCCCGCCAACGCATAGTCCAATCAAGTCATTAGATCTGGGAAAATTAGAAGACTGCACGATCACATACATGCATGCGATTCCCGTTGCAAAGGATACGACTAGTTATATGATTAATGGGCTATCACAGAACGCAGAGTCACTTGAAATGTTTCGGAACGTTACAACCCTCCTATCCCTACCCTTAGACCACCGCAGCTTATCAAAATGGGTCAAGTACATGCTAATCCACCACGGTTCACTGCCTTCCTGAGACTGCAACGCGTTTGCATAGTACATGCTGCATTTATGCAACGATTCGGCCGTCCTGGTCCTCGGCTGCCGTGACCCCGTTTGACCTAACCATTGCCTTAAGGCAAGGTTTTCGCCACCTTGTCATGGCACTTGCAGGAAACACCATGGGCAGACTCCACCTCAACGCAGGTAGCATCACCGGCGTGTCGCCCAGGATAACAGGACATCTAACGACCGGAAGCAAGGTCGCCTGTAACCGGCCGACTCCGTCGAAAGCAGTCGGGGTCAGGTCAGCGGAAGTGCAGCGCCAGTGACCAGCCGTCTACCGAACCAGCGCCGAATGGTCGTGCTCGGGGAGCTCCGCAGGGCACCCTGTTTGCTGGCGGAGAGCTCGGGGGGGGGGGGGGGGGGAAGGGTTGCGTCGGAACGCACGGCGAATCACAAACCCCTGTTAACGACCGAGTCCCTCCCCTCCGGTGACACGCACCGCCTCGGCGCGGGGCCGCAGTCCGGCGACACGTCTCGGCGCGGGGCCGCAGCCCGACGACACGTCTCGGCGCGGGGCCGCAGTCCGGCGACACGTCTCGGCGCGGGGCCGCAGTCCGGCGACACGTCTCGGCGCGGGGCCGCAGTCCGGCGACACGTCTCGCTCGGCGCGGGCCGCAGTCCGGCGACACGTCTCGGCGCGGGGCTCGCCCCCGACCTCCACCAGCCCGCGCGCCGCCCACCGCAGCCGAGCCCGCCACGAGCGTGAGACCGGCCAGCTCGAGCCGCGACTCGGCCGCCCGCCGGCGGCTCGGACGCGGCGCGGTACCGCCAGCGCCGCCGCCGATGACGGGGCGGGGTTCGGGCGGCGCCGTGTGACCCCCGCCGCCGGAGGTCAGGTCGCGGTAACGGACCGCCACTTGGGACAGCCAGCCGCTGCCGGTGGACGGCGGCAGGAACTCGGCCCGGCCGGGCCGCCGGACAGACGCTTCCGCCGGAGCCGGGGCCCGGCCGACACGGGCAGAGGCCTTCCACCCCCGCCGCTGCCCGAAGCCGCGCTGCAGTACGGCCACGGCGGCTCCCGCGGGCCAGGCCGAGCCAGCAGAACCTTAGCGCCGCCTCGATGCCCGGGAGGACAGACCGCTGCACAGCAGGCAATAATTCGATCCTCTTCTTTGCAGCCCCGCGCCGGGGTTTAAAATGCGGGTTCCCTGACGGGCCCGCTGACCCACAGAACGTCTGATGCAGAGCACGCCACGGCAGCGACCAGAGAACGTCGAATGGCGGCCCATCGAGGGGAGGACTGTGTGCAGGGAGTCGTCCCAGGTCTGGCTGAAAACCCGTCCGCAGTCACACACCGCGGCTGTGACTGGGATATGACCAGCAGCCGAGTCACACGGCCGGAAATACAACGGAAGCGGCACAAGCCAACACTGTCCAGCGCGCGCCGGCCGAGAACGGAGGCGTACCAGAGGGGTCGAGAGGCGGGCAGCAAACCAGCAAACCCCCCGGTCAGACGGCAGCGGTAGCAATTTGCGATGTTCGACCATCGCCACAAACACATCATATGGCAACCAGCTAAGATTGCCGAAGCCCTGTCCGTTCCCATGCCCGTGCCATAAGCCACGTTGCTGTTCAAATCATCTCACCGCCACGGCGGATACTGGCGCCGCTGAGGAACTTGGTCGGAAGCCACTCGGAGCCCTGCGGCCAGAGGCCAGATGCCGCGCCCCAGGTCAGTCAGCTCGCACGGAGAGAGGCTCGGCGGCGCCGCGCCAGCCGAGGTTCAGCCATGGTCTCGCACAGATCGGGTTATGGACCAGCCTTGTCCTGGGCGCACCGGGCTGACTGCCGCGTGACCGGCGCCTGACGCACCCACTCCAGTCAGGCTGGCGGCGGCAGTCCCGCCACCTCCACCTCGTGGCACGCGCCGTCTCACTTTGTCCCATGTTCCTGGTCTATATACAACACAACGCATTAGTCCTATAGGAAGGTCAGGATCTATACACTGTAAATCCCTGCCAGTATACCAGCCCCAGCCAGCAGCCACATAAGCAGCACGGCGGCCAGCCACTGATTGTCCCGACACTGAGCGTCAGTCCCACGGACGCCACGGCCACCTCCACCACACCAGCGGGCCACCGCATCAGAAGCGACCGGCCGTCACTGCGTCGGGCCGGGGCCGAGCGACGCCGCGCCAACTGACTGTGCGACAGCTGCAGCAGCGGCAGCGGCAGCAGCCGGGCCGACCGCGGCCACGCCCGAACCGACGCCGACGGTCCAGCAGCGGCGGCGTGAGGCGGCGGGCTCCTGCAGTGCGCGACCCTCCAGCACCTCCAGCAGGCCCGGGTTGAGCAGGATCGGGTCCGGCCGGCCGGCGCCGGCAGCGGCGGCAGCTGCGGCAGCGGCGCCGGCCGAGCGGGTCTTGCTCCAGCGGCGGAGCGACCGACGGCAGCGGCGCGGGAGGCGGCGGCGTCTGCAGCACACTGACGGGAGGCGAGGGCCGCTGCTGCCACTGCCACCGGCTGAACAGGCTGGCCAGCCGCTCACTGAACGTGCCGACCGCCGGAGAGCCGTCCGCCGCGGCCGGAGAGCCGTCCGCCGCGGCAGGAGAGTCGGGCCGCTGCGGCCGGAGATGCGACTTGCGCGGCGCCAGAGACGACGGCGTCCGCCGTCCACCGTCGCCGTCGGCGGGGTTGGGCGCCGAGAGCGGTGGCGGGGCAGCGTCACTCTCCGGGTCCAGCGGGTCGGCCGCAAGCCACGCCCTGGTCATCCAGCTGCAGCACGGCCGGCGCGCCGGCGCCCAGGCCTAGCCATGAGCTGACCAGCTCAGCCCCAGACGCCCCTCGTCTCGCCGCCCAGGCGCTCCGACTCAGCCACCACCTCGGCCATGTCTGGGTCGGCCATGGCGCGGTCGAAGCCGAGCATGGTGGCCGCTGAGCGCTGCCCGCCGGCTGAGCAGCGCCGCCGGACCGGATGTCACCGCCGTTCGGTCACAGTCGCTGCCAGACCGAGCGACGGGCGGTCCCGCAGGCGGGCCGGGAGCCCCACGCCGCGTCTGTCGCCGCCGCCGTCCACGAAACACTCCCAGCCACGTCGCGACACAGCTCAGGTCGCCTTCTGTCGGCGCCGGCGGGGCGTCACGCTCGCCGCGCCGTCCGTCGTCGCGCTCCGGCAGCGTCGCACCTGCCTCGTCTCACGCACAGCAGCTCCGCTGCGGCAGCGGCGCCCCGGCCGCCGGCTATCGGCCGAGACCCGGCCCGATAACGCCAGCCCCGATAGCGGCCGGCCGGCGGCGGCAGACATCGGATGGGGCCGTCGCGGCCCGGCACGCAAGCCCAGCTCGTCACGAGCGTCCCGCCGAGCTGGCGTGGTCGTGTCGACCGCGAGTGGGGAGGGCGGCGCCGGTGGAAGCGCGAGTCGCAGCCAAGCGCGGCCGCGGACCGGCGCGTGGCGGTATCCGGTGCCTCTGGTGCGTTCTGCCCGCCGGCCTGCTCAAGGCGAGTGACGACCCCCCGTGACACGGACCGGGAGCCGTCCGGTGACGCGGCGCCTGACAGCGGGAGCCGTCCGGTGACACAGCGCCTGACAGCGGGAGCCGTCCGGTGACGCAGCGCCTGACAGCGGGAGCCGTCCGGTGACACAGCGCCTGACAGCGGGAGCCGTCCGGTGACGCAGCGCCTGACAGCGGGAGCCGTCCGGTGACGCAGCGCCTGACACGGGAGGCGCGCGGCGCGCAAGAAGTGCTGCCGGCCCAGCGCCGGCCGACACGCGGGGATGGGCCGGTGGGCGATATCATGCCGCCGAGAGGCCCCAATCGAACAACCCACCAGGCAGCTGAAGGTACAGCATGCGGACCAGCCGTCGATTGATGCTAACAGCCCGCTGATGGCTCTCAATGGCCAATAACAGACAGACACGCGATCATCCGCACGAACACGGAAACGTTAACAGCTCACGCATGTCCTGCGCGCCTGTCTGATTGCCTGCATGTCTCTGTCTGTCTCTGTCTCTTTATGTCCTCACCTTCGCTTCTGTTCTCACATCCCTGTCTTTTTCTTCTTGCCCGTCCTGTCCTCCCCTGCCCTGCCCTACCCTACCCTACCCTACCCTGCCCTGCCCTGCCCTGCCCTACCCTGCCCAGCCCAGCCCAGCCCAGCCCAGCCCAGCCCAGCCCAGCCCAGCCCAGCCAGCCCAGCCCAGCCCAGCCCAGCCAGCCCAGCCCAGCCCAGCCCAGCCCAGCCCAGCCAGCCCAGCCCAGCCCAGCCAGCCCAGCCCAGCCCAGCCCAGCCCAGCCCAGCCCTGCCCTGCCCTGCCCCTGCCCTGCCCTGCCTGCCCTGCCCTGCCCTGCCCTGCCCTGCCTTTCTGCTGTCCTGTCCTGTCCTGTCCTGCCATGTGTTGTGCTGTGGTGTGCTGTGCGGTGCTATGCTATCCTGTCATATTCTCTCTTCTTTTTCCGCTCTCTGTCACTTCCTCTTCCCATCCCGTGCTCTGCTCTGCTCTGAACTACACGCGCAGTGTTGGTTCAGCTCTGCTCCCTCTCCTCGTTTCCTATCCCGGCACGCTATGCGTGAGCCCGTCACGCACAAAAACGGTAATGGAGAGCAGATAATGAGAGGGCAGCGGGGCCGCGGCCTCACGCCCGCCAGCCCGCCCGAGCGCCGGAGCGCCGAGCGGCGCCGTTCGCCCGGCCCGTCACAGACGACAGCGCCAGTTCCACGAGCGGCGCCGCCCGCGCTTAAGTCCCTGGAGCCGGCTGGCGGCGCAGTGCCGCAGTGCCCCCTCGACAGGGATACGCACTGCAGCATCCGCCGGCGCTGGTTGCTGTGGATGCGAGCAAACGGATGACAATTTAACCGGCGGAGAGTTACCCCCGCAGCGCTCGCAAGGAATTCAGACGCGCGTCCCGACGACCGATCTCGCACGCAAACTGCGACCTGAAGCACGGCTCCTCGCACCGTGTTTGGGCGGCCCGGCCCGATCCGGCGGGTGCCGGCCGGTCGCGTGCCGCCGTTGCTGGGCGGCCCGCCCGGCCCGGGCGACCCCGTGCCGTGCGCGCTGCAGCCGTCGGGCCGGCGTCTCCCGAGCAGCGGCCGCCGCGCCAAACAAGGCGTAACGCTCGACGGTCGGCTCCACGGACGGTCCGCGGATGGGTGGGAGGCCACAGATGGCCAGCCACGCGCTCCCCCGGTCAGCGCACAGTACATTCCCCCGCCCCCGCGCACCGGCTATATCTCGACACACGGCGCGGGTTTAGGGTATCATCCCTAGCGTTATTGAACGCGTTACCAGGACAAAATACAGCAGTATCGCCGGCCCAGGCAAACGTCAACCGGTCCCTACAATAGCCGACGTCTTGGCACAAGTAATGAAAACAGG